GGCAAAAAATTTAAAATTACTTACAAAATTTATTAACACTATTAATGTAATTGATTATAATTATTATAAAAAGAGAGAAAATGGTATCTGTGAATAGAAAAAAAAATGTAAGAACGTTAAAGTTTTAGAGAAAATGAAAAAATCATTAGTTATTGATGGTAAACTCGATAATCGCCAATAATCTCAAACTTTGGACGAAAGAAACTCAAAACTGTACATAATAAATTGACTTATAACTCAAGGAAAAGCTGTAAACAAACCTATTAATGCAAGTTCTGGCAGGGAATCTTGGGTAATAGTTAGAAAAGAATGCGAAACATATATTTGGGTTTAAAATATTCGGTGAAAATCTGGGAATTTTTTTTAATCAGATGATCGACGTTGCACACACCATTTTGAAAACGGCGATAAATTAAATCGAATGAAGTAAAATGAAAATGATCTGCATGTTACATGCGCGATTGGCACCTTAACATTGGAGAATAGTGTGAGATATTCTCATATTCCTTTCTTAGTGATAATAATAATTAAATTTAAAAAAAAAAAATCAAAAATATTTTTCTTGAATCGATATTCCATGTCACTTCAAGGATTTACAGTCACAATAAACCACAAGGTTTTTTTTTTTTTTGAGTCACGATTAAAGAAATATATAAACATTGAGTTTTTTTCTTCTTTAAAAAAAAAGTAAAAAAAGTAACTTCTAATTTTTATTTCCACTTTGAATAACTTCAGTTATTTTTAACCCTAAAATTCTTAATTTCAAAAATGAATGAAAAATTTATATTTTACATTTTGATTGTACTTACGGTCATAACTAATTTAAAATATACGGTTGCAGGTTCTATAATTACTAAAGTATTTGACATCGAAGATGCTTATTGGACACCTGAAAAAATGAGAGATGCAATACCCTTAACAACTAATGAATCTAAAAATAATAAACCCAATTATCGTACTAAAAGAGATCAGTTACCAGTGAAGGAATCGAACATTACAAGTTATAATCCTTATGTTCCTTATGGAAAATTATTTTTTCATAACACCGGAGATGGTAAAAATTATTTTTGTACTGCTAGTGTAATTAGGACTGAAAATGGAAATATCGGGCTTACTGCCGCACATTGTATTTATAATGGAAATGGTAGTTGGTCTTCAAATATGGTTTTTTGCCCCGGGTATGAAAACGGTCAATGTCCGGTTGCTATACCCGTTAAAGGAGGTTCTGTAGAAGTAGTAGATGGTCACTATTATTATGATTATGGCATGATTAAGTTCAATTACGATCAGGGTAAATTGCAAGACAAAACAGGATGTTTCGACTGGGATACTAATCCGGGCGATACAGTTAATAATATCACTGCAATAGGTTACCCAGTAAATGGTGAAATTAAAGATTGTAAAAGAGATGGAAATTCCCCTTGCAAATGGAATGGGAGTTCGTCTCGATCGGGTAGTTTTAGATATGTACCTTTAAATACCGGAAGTGGTTCAAGCGGAGGTCCTTGGATTAGACAATATGACAATAAAAATAATACAGGCAGGGTAATTGGTAATGCAAGCGCTTCAAAAAGTGGTTCAACTGATTCACCCATATATTCTTTCGAAGAATTCACGAAACTAGTGTATGAGGCTTCAAAACTTTAAACTAATTAAGACTATAATTTTTTTATTACTATTATCACTAAATACTTATCTAATATAATTTATTACCATTTATTTACTAAATTAATAAACAATTGGTTTACATATAAAATGACAGTTTATTTAAATGAGTCTTACTTTGTGCTTCGAGAATTTTATGAACGGATAATTAAATAAAAACAATACGAAATTTTTAATTAACGTACACTTATCGATCAACTAATGATAGACTTCAATTCTATAAAAATTTTTTCCGTTTCCGTGAATATGATACATTTATGGAAAAATAATGAAAATATAAGTAATAGTTATAAAATTCCGTGAGTATGATGTTTAAAGAATTTTATGGATGAACTTCGGAGTCCTCAAAAGCGGTACCATTTTTTGATTTATTACAAATTTTTTTTTTTTACTTTCTCTAAAAAAGAAATGCTTTGTCAACTTCCAACTGACTAAACTGACTGCTTAGATGAAAATTTTGAATTTATAGAAGGTGATAAAATCACTTTACATTCATGTTTATTAATTAATTGTACTTATTGTAAAATTTCAGTTAGAGAAATATTCGGGATTTTAAATATTCTCCTGGTTATCGTCCGAAGCTTTTGAAAGTAGAAAAATCAATACTCAGTATACTAATTGCAATGAATCAATAGTACTATTATATAGAAATAAAATTTTTATACCATACAGCATTTTGCAAAGTATTTTCGGGTGTTACAAAAACATGTATTGTACGGTTGATTTTTCGCATGTATGACATGCACACATTTTAATAACCATACATGTATATTTTGGACCGTTTTTTTGTGGCGCATCAGCCTCATTTGCTTTTCTGCGTAACATTTATCTTAGAAAAATTTTAATTGCAAATTTTTTTTAAGAAAATTAATTTTCATGCTTTTAAAATTTATGTTTTTAAATTGAAAATTATTTACTTTCAAAAAGTTAATAAAACAATAAAAATATGCTCTATTGATAAAAAAAAAATGATAAGTTCGTTTAATTTCATATTGAAATTTATGTCTGCTTATCTATTAATAAATAAACGCGTATCTCCTAATAAAATAAGTATAATAAATAACACAAATAACACCTAAATAAATATGAAAACTAGTGCTCCGAATGATACGAGTCGACCCGGGTTAATTTGACCCGACTCGACTTTTAAATCGGGTCGGTACTAACGATTTTTAATGACCCGTGACCTGCATGACCCGCATGACCCGACCCGCCGGGTCGGGTTATAAATTTCCTTGACTCGGGTTTGACCCGGGTTTGACCCAGATGTTTTTAATTCTGGCAAAATTATAATTTTGGCCAAAATTAAGCCAAGAATTAGTTTTAACAAATATTAACATAGCTTAATCAGAAAAATAAAAAAATTAACCTTTGGCTTTTGAGAATAATATTTTTCTGATAGCTTTAGAATTCCAATTTATCTTTGATTTGAATATCTTCTAATTATTTTGCCTAATTCTTTGACTTTTATTATATTAAACCAGGTTCAAAATTTGTATTTTTAATTTTATTTTATTTAATTAATCTAGGAGAAAATAAGAGCTAGTGTTACATGTTTTGTATAACCATTCATGATACAAATTTTAGGTGGCTACTAGTGGTTAATCACTAAGTTGCCTTTTTTTCAAATAAAAAAAAATTAATTTTGTTATTATTATAAGAAAATCTCACATAAAATAAGTTAGTACCCATTTTACTTAAATGTTCGGGTCTAACCCGGGTTACACGAGTTAAATTATACTCGGTTGAGTCAAGGGTCGGGTTACGAAAATATGAGACCCAAATAAATACGAGTCTTATATTTTTTATTCAGATCGGGTCGAATATTTCCTCAAAACCCGACCCAACTTGACCCGGTAGGAGCACTAATGAAAACGCGTCTCTCCTAATAGATATAATAAACAAGTACAATAAATAGTACTTAAATAAATATATAAACGTGTATTACCTGTTACCTAAAGAGATTTAAAATATGTATAATGCACTTAATATTGTTACAAAATATAATTATAACACCCTTTACTTGTTAAACAACTTTATTTATTCTTCAAAGAATGATCAAAGTACCAAAATTACACTCTACTCTTTGTATAAAGAAGATAGACAAAAAATAAAATAGTTAATATAGTAATTAAAATAATTAATTAAATTGATATTTTCAGCTTTTTATAAACTTTTGTCTGACATTAAAGAAAGAAAGAAAAAAAAGGGAAAGTTATAAAATTACTGCGGTTAAACATAAATAAATAAATAAATTAATGAGGCTGATATGGCACATAATCACGTGGAGTCATCCAAACTATACATGTATGGTGACAATGATTTCCTGACAGGCTGACAGGACAAAATCCTGAATGGACATTTTTCCGAATAACATCTTTTCCAACATGACAATATCCCGACGATAAATATCCCGAAAGACAAAATCCTGACATGACATTTTCCTGAATTCAGTTTGTGAAAATGTAACTTTGGTTAGGTATATAGTTTTAACAATAATACATCCATTCAGGATTTTGTCCTGCCAGGAAATCGTTAAGAAAAGGTTACGTCAGGAAAATGGATGTCGGGAAATCATTCTGTAACCAAATATATGTATGTCAAACTTTGTGAAAAATCAACTGTACAATATATGTTTTCTATATACCCATTAGAATTATTTGATAATTTATATTTAATAATTGGAAAAGTTAAAAAGATTATTTAAATTACAAGCTAAGAAATTTGTAAAATATTACTACTCTAGCCTTAGTGTTTAAATAATTATAAAAAAAGAGAATACATATATGAATAAAATATAAAAAGAAGGAATTATTTAAATTACAAACTAAGAATATTGAAAATATTTTAATAGTACTTTAGCCTTAGTATTTAAATTAATCTAAACAACAATTTCTGTTAAATGCATGACATTAAATATCACTTATAAAAGAACTATAAAATGCAAATAATTACTAGTTATTTTTTATCTAAATAATTAAATAAATAAAATTAATTTTACATAAATAATTTGCAAAGTTAATTCTTTTTATATACATTATATTACATACCTGATAATTTCAAATTAACTATACAATCATCCAAATCTTTACTTACTAGCATTTCATTAACTTTTATACTAGATTGTGAATCTTCACTTTCTTCATTCACTTTTCCACTAGTAGTAAATGATTGACTTGAATTATAAGCTTGCAAATCTCTGCTTTCAAGAATTTCATTCAATTGTTTACTAGTAAAACCAAGTAAGCGGCTTGCATAATGTGCTTTTGGATGAGATTCAGTAGCAAGATTATTGTTATACCCAATTGGTGCATTTATAAATTCCATAATATTGCATTTTAATTCTTCATTAATATCTTCGACTTTCACATTATCTGGAAGAGAAATCCATTCTTTAATAATATTTAAAACTTCTTTAGAAGATGGCCTTTTTAATTGGTTTTCATTCCAACACTTTTCCATCAAATCTACATAACATTGTGGAGTATTTTCAATAATTTCAGGATGTTCACCTCCACAAATACTTAAGCTAAGTTGAAAATCATGTGCTCTATTATTAAATGGTGGTACCCCAGACGTAAATTCCCACATAATCATAGAAAAACTATATATATCACTAGCTAGAGTATAAGAATTGCCTCTTAAAACTTCTGGTGCCATAAATGGTATAACACCATAAATATCATATTTTTTCAAAAATGATTTTACAGGTTTACATAATCCTAAATCACTAATATAAATCTTACTTTCATTATGATTTAAAATATTTCCATCATGAAAATCACAATGAATAAGATTTTGTTTATGCATATCATTAAGTCCAGAAATAATTTCAAATAACATGTATAATTTTTGATACCAACCACTTTTGATTATTCTTGTTAAGTTTCCTCTTAAATTACCTTTGTTTGCATAATCCATTACTACCATATATTTCAAAGTATCTGGATCTTTTGTAAACCCATAAAAATAAATAATATCATATGAACTTAAACAACTTTCATGATATTTCCACTATAAAAAAGTAATAATGTATTAGTATAAATAAAATATAATTCAAATTAAAAAAATAAATAATATATTATCATACTTCATTTAAAAATTCATTTAAATTTTCACTTAAATTAATATGACATTTAAGAATTACTTCATTATCTTTATTATTATAAAACCAAATAGCTTTATATATAGTACCAAATCCTCCTTTATCAAGATATTCAACATTTTTAAATTTATCATAAGGAATCCATTTAAATTTTTTTTCCAAAATAAAATTATCCATAATTGTATCTCCACTTTTTCCAAATCTATATATAAATTTAAATAATTAAAATTATATTGAAGTTTATAATAAAAATTACACTAAAATTTAAGATTAAAATTAACACTTACTCTAAAATTTAAATAGAAATTTAATATAATATATGTCTTAGATTTTGTATAAATATATATAATAATAACATATTTACAACTTACCAACTAAAGTAACAAAGATTTTAAATAAAAAATCCAATTAACAAATAAATATTTATAAAATAGATAACAATAGAAACAAAAAATAACTTACAAGCTTATATTATTAAATAAATAATTTAGTTAGTTTAATTATATGTAAATATTATAACAATAAGTAATAATAGAATTAAATAAATAACTTACCATCTATGAAATAATTTTTTAAATAAAGAATTTAGTTAGTTTAATTTATATATAAATATTATAAGTAATAATAGAATTAATAAATAACTTATAACTTACGATCTATTTAAATAAAGAATTTAGTTAGTTTAAATTATATGTAAATATTATAACAATAAGTAATAATAGAATTAATAAATAACTTATAACTTACATGCTATATTATC